TTTCAATTATGTATGAATAAAGGTTAATTTTTTTGGTAATGTTAAAATGTAGCAATGTTTACTACAGAGTTTAAAGTTCAACAATGAACCACTCCCCTGTGCATATCTTGTTAGCATTTTGATTAGAATTTGACAGGAAGGTGATAAATACCGCTAATTCTATCATGTTCATTGGACAAAACTACATACAGGGAAGAGTCATAAAGTTTGTTATTTGTTTAAAATGTGATTCCAATTTCTCAGAAATTTATGCATCATAGAAAGCCTATACTTACATTTCTTTTTTTTCCCCCAAAGGTTACTGCCTACTCCTCAATATCATTTATCACAGCAAAATATTATACAAAATTCAGCATAAGGAACTCTTTTTTGTGACAACCCTTATATTCCACCTGCTAAAAATCATCACTGCATTTAAGCTCACTTTAGAGGTCTGTAGAGGTAAGGATTTGTCACCCTTTAAATACTATCTTAACAAAAAAGTTTCTTACCCATTGCTTGTTGTACCATTTTGATGTCTTTTAAAGCTTTTAGTTCGCTTGTTACTCCATATTGAATATGTATCATCTAAAATATTATAAGTTTTCATTATATTTACTATATAAAGTCTTCATATTCCAAAATGTTCAGTCAGTGACATATGTAAAATTTGGAAATGAAATGCACTTTTTTGAGCTAATGAAGATAAATTTTTCCAGGACAATGGCATTAGCCTGCTCTTTTTCGATTTCCTACTGTCAAGGGGTTTTTACTTGCACAGTCTGTAGCCTTAGTTTATTGTCTCATCTGAAAGACTAGATGCTTTTTCCATGTCAGCCTCTGAATATCTTATGTAGAAAATGTAAACAAAAGTCAAAACACTCAACGATAATATCATTAATCCAAACTATTATTGGCCATTTACATAATGTGACCTTTATATTGTACATGTTTATTGTTCTATTGTTATTGTGAAGGACACATTATATAGCTTATCATGTGTCCCTTATTTTAAATTCTGAAATCCCAGAAATTCTGTGCAATGGGCAATAACTCAAATTCTGTTGATCGAAAAATTGTCAAATTTAATCTTGACTAAGATCTCATCATTATAAATGATCATACCAAATTTCATTTAAATCGGATGAAAACTGTAGCCTCTATTGTGTTCACAAACAAATTTTGAAGCGTTTTTCATAAATCAATAACTCAAAAACCATTCATCGAAAGATAGCCAGATTCGAACTTGTCCAAGATCTCATCATTATAAATATTCACACCAAATTTCATTGAAATTGGATGAAAACTGTAGTCTCTATTGTGTTCACAAACAAATTTTAACATTTTTCATAAGTCAAGGGCAATTACTCAAAAACCTTTCATCGAAAGATGGCCAAATTCGAACTTATCCAAGATCTCATCATTATAAATATTCACACCAAATTTCATTGAAATTGGACAAAAACTGTAGTCTTTATTGTGTTCACAACCAAATTTGACGCATTTTTCATAAGTCAAGGGCAATAACTCAAAAAACGTTCATTGAAAGATCGTCAAATTCGAACTTGTCCAAGATCTCATGAATATAAATGATCACACCAAATTTCATTCAAATCAGATGAAAACTGTAGTCTCTATCACGTTCACAAGCCAATTTTGACGCGTATTGGCTAAGTCAAGGGAAATAACTCAAAAACTGTTCATCAAAAGATCGTCAACTTCGAACTTGTCCAAGATCTCATCAATATAAATGATCACACCAAATCTCATTCAAATCAGATGAAAACTGTAGTCTCTATCGTGTTCACAAGCCAGACTGACAGACTGACGGGCATGGGTGACCACAATATACGTCCACATTATAATGTGGGCGTATAAAAATCAATTACTCTGATATTAGATCTATATCATCTTTTGCCTTATGACAAACTCATTCAAGTATGAAGAAAAAAAAATGTATACCTGTTGGGGGAATTGCTGGTCTGTGAATAACACCAGGTGGTCGTGGTATTGATCGTGATGATGGTGGAGGCGATACATATAAATCATTATTCAATGTTTCTGGAGGACGAGGCGCTGGTACAGGAGGTGTAGCTAACATATCAGTATACGTAGAGTCAGTATTACTTCTACCACTGCCTCTATCCATAGATAAATACATATCATCATTGCTTGGTATAAACCCTGCTGCAGCATTTATATATGAATGTTTATTGCCTTTACATGGTTTAGGAGCTGCAGGTACCAGATTAATGTTACTCTCGCGATTGTTCAACACCGGATTATTAGATTTGGGTATATCATAGCTATCAAATACTAATGGACTTTCATGCTTGGAAGGTGTTGGTATTATTGCATTAAGATCTGTATTGCCCATGGCCATGGTATTCCTTGGTGTGGGAAGATTTTGGTAATCATTTTGAGGATAGTTTGAAGTGATGGGTCTGGGAGGACGACTAGGGGGAGGAGGAGAGGATTGTCTACATGCTGAACGTACAGGTGGTGTATCATATGTGGGTAATGTCATATCTTGTGGTGTAACAGGACGACCACTTGATAATGTAGAATCTGTACACCCACTACTACTAGATCTAGGTGTGCTAGGACTACCACGACGTGGTGGAACATCATAAGTCAACTCATGATGAAATTCACTATCTGAATTCCTTTGTCCATGTGGAGGGGGTACAAGATAGAACTGATCAAAAGATATATGGGTTTGTTTTGATGGTGGGGGAACACTATATAAGTCACTGAACACTTCACTACTGTTCCGAGGACTTGGTGATTGATGTCCTGTTTTTAGAGGAGGAGGCGGAGCTAACTCATCAGGCACACTATCCACACTTTCACGTCTGTCTATCGGTGATTGTCTATCTGCACGATTACTTCCAGTACTACATTCCTGTAATGGTATGTATGATTCCGAGGTTGATAAATGTGACGATAATGTTGATTGTGTTGTGCATGGTACAGGTTGTGGTTTTGATGGTTGTGTAACAACTGGTATTCTTGTTATACTTGTTCTGGCACTCGGATTAACAGAGTAAGCAGATACAACAGGTGCTTTGCCATTTTGTGTAGGAGCTTGTTTCTTTGGTTCTGGTATGTCAGTGGCTAAAAAAAGAAAAATTTTCAATCATTTCTTTCAAACACTGGTTAAACAAAACAAGGAATGAAATTATGTATTGGAATGGTTTCAACTTAGATTCTCTTGGACTCTACCTACCAATTTACAAATTTCGAAACACAGCAAAAGATCATTTTTTACAAACCACAATCAAATTGAAAAAAAAATGGGTTAAAAAATTAAATGTATACAAAGTGGAAATTTGCTAGACAGGGTCTTTAATCTTTTGTTAGTTTTTCTCTCTCCAGCTCAACAAGGTAACACATTCTGATGTTTACATCATCTAATTTGTCAACAATTTAAAACGTGAAGAGATGAACAGCAAGCGTTGTTCAAACTGATCACAGCTTTACTCCTATTACTGATTTGTACTACAATGACTTTTAGAAGTATGTTGTTAGCTTGAACTTTTTCTACATCAAATGAAGACAGTACCTGTACCTATTGATCTTTTTTTTTATACAAAATAAGGCAAGATTTCAAATTAAGACCATACCGAAAGAACCATTGTTTTTTTTCCAAAAAGCGTACGCACCATTTTCAAAGTAAAATTTCGGTCATTTCTCTAGCTCTGGTCATAAGACTATTCAAGAATATTGCATAAACTTCAAAAGCCAATAATGAACCTTACTCACATGTATGCTAATGCAATGTTAGAAGAGAAAGCCTATGAGATCTTGAAACATAGATCTACCAAAAATTAGAAGAAAGATAGCTTGCCAGGCAAGGTAACATACGCCCACTGGCAGCTGTCAGAAATGATTAAACAGTCTTTAGTGACTACAGGGTTGCACAATATAGCTAATAGAGTGAAACGTCAAGTCAGACACGATATTTCGGTGAAATATTATCCGATCATCGCGAAAATCGATAGGGACCATCTTCATAATGACATTGACATACAAAATAAAAATCAAAAGAATCTGTAAAGAATTGTAGCCTGTAGAGTGAGCACGATCTGCACAATATAGCTAATAGAGTAAAACGTCAGGTCAGACACGATATTTCGGTGAAAAATTATCCGATCATCATGAAAATCAATAGGGATCATCTTCATAACGACACAGACATACAAAATAAAAATCAAAAGAATCTGTAAAGAATTGTAGCCTGTAGAGTGAGCACGAGTTGCACAATATAGCTAATAGAGTAAAACGTCAAGTCAGACGCGATATTTCGGTAAAAAATTATCCGATCATCACGAAAATCAATAGGGATCATCTTCATAATGACATTGACACACAAAATAAAAATCAAAAGAATCTGTAAAAAATTGTAGCCTATAGAGTGAGCACGAGTTGCACAATATAGCTAATAGAGAAAAACGTCAAGTCAGACACGATATTTCGGTGAAAAATTATCCGATCATAACGAAAATCAATAGGGATCATCTTCATAATGACATTGACACACAAAATAAAAATCAAAAGAATCTGTAAAAAATTGTACCTTTAGAGTGAGCACGAGTTGCACAATATAGCTAATAGAGAAAAACGTCAAGTCAGACACAATATTTCGGTGAAAAATTATCCGATCATCACGAAAATCAATAGGGATCATCTTCATAATGACATTGACACACAAAATAAAAATCAAAAGAATCTGTAAAAAATTGTAGCCTGTAGAGTGAGCACGAGTTGCACAATATAGCTAATAGAGAAAAACGTCAAGTCAGACACGATATTTCGGTGAAAAACTATCCGATCATCACGAAAATCAATAGGGATCATCTTCATAACAACATTGACATACAAAATAAAAATCAAAAGAACCCATAAAGAACTGTAGCCTGTAGAGTGAGCACGAGCCAAATGTGAACGGACGGACCGACGGGGCGATTACAATATACGCCCATCTTACCTGTGTTCGTATAAAAATGATAAAACTTACGACTTTCTTCTTGTTTTAATCCACAGACACTACAAAGATTACTGACCCACTTTGCCATGTCTTCTTCTGTTGCTGTGGCTAGGAAATAGGTCCTTTCTTTACCTCGACAAACAGTTTTTATAGCTAGTAAATAGGGGAACTGATCAGAGTCCAGAGATTCTATTATTTGTTCACATTCCTCTAGATCTATTGTTCCTTTTTTCCTGGTGCATTGTTCATCACTGAAATAGTTCAGTTCGTACTGGCCTGGTAAACTACCAGATGGTTTACATAGAACAAAATATCTCTTCTTCCATTTCTGAAAATATAAGAATAGCTTTTATTACACATCAAAAATTTTTCAAACCAAAGATTGAAGACTGAATAACTAATACAATTTTTTCCATATTTTACTACAAAAATATGTCTGAAGACTAAAATCCACGAAATAGCTCATTTCAATCAAAAATGTTTTAAAAGACCCAAATTTTGTCCACAAATCTCAAAGCTCCTTTAAAAGCCTGTCCTCAAAAACAACTGAATTTAGTTGTCATTAGACTAAGTTTCATGTCTCTAATATCTATGATAACTGATTTACAGACACCCAAGATTCCATTTTTAAGTCCATTTATAGATCTTATCTGTCTGATCTGTGTTTGAAAAACATGATTTACTTTCTATTCTTTATAATGCTGAGACAGAAGATAAACAGTAAACGTGATTTGAAACAACACAAACAATTGTTATATAATTATCAATTTTTGATATAAAGATTCTTGAAAATAAAAGCCTTAAAGATATTAATATTGACAAATGTATTAGACCACACCATTGGTAATAATAATATAAAGTCTACATGTCCTAATAACATGATTTAAATCATGATAATAACCAATAAACTATCATAATTATACAGGCTTCATCATTACACAATCATAACATGTCTCTTAACAAGTCTGAAGTTAATGTCATTCTATCAAAACCAACATTAGTGATGGAGTTTCAATGAAATATGATATTTATTCTAGGATATACACTACAAGTCAATAAGATCATATTATTTCTCAAAGTTAGGACAATATTAAGGTAACTCTCCAATTGATTGCAAACATATTCTGGAATTGTATTAAAGGCAGTTTAAAGGAATTGCAAAGAAGAGCACTGATAGCATTGGTTTGCACGAACCAATTTTTGGCACCATTCCAATTTTCAATCTAATGTCATTGGTTCCTGCAATTCCACTAAAACTAGATGTTTGATGTAATTACTATCACAAAACATGCTTATCTTAAACAGGCCCTCTGCTTAAAACTTAGTAGAATTGTGGAAGCCATACACGTCTGATTGAAAATTGAAAGGGTACAAATCGATGCTAACAATGTCCCTGATACCCATAAAAAAACTTCTTTACAATCTTTTTAGTAGTATCCACATCAAAAGTTTATGGCTCCTGTATTTCAAAAAGAGTTTGACTAAATCATGATTGTCACCTATTCCAAGATCTATTTTGCTTGGTCAAGATTTTTTATATATAAAACACTACAAAAATGTTAGAATAGAAAAAAAAACATTAAAAATATGTCTGAGAAGAGAGGGTCCTTAAACAAACTGTACATCTGTTAATAATCATCCACAGCTTGGTGATATCTTACATCTCAAACTAGGTGATAACTATCATATAAAAATACCAGAATGATAGTATAATGATAGTTTAAGTATGAGGAAAGTTATCATATTTTACTTGTCTAACATCAGATACTCAAATAGTGATTAACAGATGTATTGGAATTATATTTAACTCATGCCAGGACTTCTCCTTCAAAATTTATACTAATGGTCTTATAGATCTTTTGTGTGGATACATGTCTACTGTCAAAAGCAACAGAGAAATCTTTATCAAAATATAAAAGAGACATTGATTTATTGTTACATATTGATGACAATGGTATATAACTCATACTTGCACTTGACTTTTGTTCTCAACCAGAAAATTTCAAGGACCAGAAACACTTGTGAATCATATTATAACTCAAGTAAATAAATCTCAACCCAGAAGTGAATCATTTCACACTATTTGATAGTGAAGGAATTAAAAAGGAAATAAGCCATCATGAATGGTGTAAACAACAGAGGTAAAGCCTTGAGGTACAAACTGGAACAATTTACTATAACATCATACACTAGTCAAATGCATCACACAAACAGAAATTCTAATTCTTTATAGCTCTTTAATCTGACATTTAGAATGAATAAAATAAACCCTTGAGTTCATGACTCTTTCGCCATTTTGCTAAATTTTGCTTTTATAGGAAAAGTTCTGCTTTGAACACCATTGAATTTATAGCAACATTTGAAACAGGAAAAGATAAATTTGTAGAATTGATATTAATATGAGTGACCTTTAGTCAGCTGTCAAATATAACTAATTACTCCATCATTAACATCACATTCAATAACAACATTTTCAATTTATAATTCATCTGACCTTAATGTAGTTATCATGGACTACTGCTGGTAAAGAGAATCAGAGTTTCTCAGCAATGAGTTTCAAGATCTAATTTAATTCTGCCTTGTTTATTTTACCCCCTATTTTTTTTGTAAAGAAGCTCACATTGATATTGGTGCCTTTTAGACTACCAGCCAACATCCTATGTTTATCTTAATTTGATGGCTAGATTGTTTATCTTGTTGACTTTTGTTCTTATTAAAAACTAAACATATTTTATTGCACTAAACAAAAGTTATTATTTATGGCACTCATTTTAAACTCTTTCATCTCATTTTCTTGCTATTCTTTTGTTTCCGTGACCTATATCCCTTGAATTTCTTTTCCACCTAACTAAGCTAAATGTGCCATTTTTGTCACATTAGTGCTGTTCTTTGTAGAGATAGCACCTTTCTCGTCTACTTTTGATTTTTTTTTTTTTTTCGCTTGATAAAGGGATTAGTCCAGCATTGTATCAACTTTTTACCTACTGTTTGCACGTTTTTCCTGCTATAAAAATATCTAATTCAACAACCTTGGACTTTTCAAGTGTTGCTAAAGAATTGAAAGAAAAGACTAAAAATAAATCTTCTGCAACTTTTCAGAGTCTAAACATTACAAGTGAAGTCAATGTAATATCAACTAGTTTTCTGGTAAAAACTAAAGTACTCTTTGCCAATTGTTAAAAATTTCTTCCCTCCTGATCATAAACTTGTATGATTTTGTGATGATAGCAATGACACATCAAAACATACTGGGTGTACAAGCCTACATCATTGGTGGAAGGAAGCTCTTGACCGTGCACCTTTCTCTTATTCAGATACTATCACAAGGACTATCTGGTTTGAAAAGGGGAATAAAATTGTATAATATATACAAAATAACACAACTAAACACAACTAACCACATTGAGGTCACATTGAACCCCATTCAATCATATTAACTAATTGGCTTTCTGAAAAGTCAACAACAAACCTTCAATTCAAACATAAGATATAAAATCCTCAATTCACTAGCTTTAGCTCTGGCTCAGATATTCAGGAAAGAAAGATTAATACTCTTTATCTACCCATTTTTGGTATCTCTAATAATACATGGCCTAGATATTTTATCAATGAAATGATTATGAATTAGGCCACCCTAGATAAACCCACACAATGTACAGAGAATAACTAGTTGGTTATAGCGCCCTGAATATATTTTTGCATTTTCAATATCTTATTGGTTTTGCTGTTGCAAATCCTTTCATCTTTAAGGAGTCATTTCCCCTGATTCTCTCGCTCAGTACAAGACATTTAATATATAAGCTTACACAAATAAATAAAATATGCTATTTCCATGAAATTTTGCACTGCAGTTTGAGTCAAACACCGAATGGGCTAGTCGACAAGACTATCAACATTGTCCTTCATAAAGTAAGGTGAAAGTGATGATACTCTTTTGATTGGGTAACATTTGGATACCCCTTTCAGAGAGCTTATAAGTCTAATATTGTTTAATTAGAATACTGACATTCTCTATTCCAACTCAAAGCTACACCTACACAAATGTTCAACAACACAAATTTCACACGACTTGCATTTTCATCATAAGCCCAATTTAACATTTTATTAAAAGTACTAAGAAAGTTTAACATGTATGTGTATTAGAATATAAAATAGAAAGTTATTTGGTGATAATGTCACATTCCTGACTTTAAAATATATGAATATAAACTAAATGGTTGTGAATCTGTACTATGGACATTTCATAGTTTTATATCAATCTATACCAGTAGTATCCAAAACCACATCTCTGTATTGTTTACCACAAACAAAGTCCTAATAACCATTTTTGTGAATCAAAAAACAAAGTAATAACATGAAGTAAAACCAACAAATCACATTCAACTTACAACAAACATCTTTGTTCATGTTTTTTTTTTTATCAACAAGTTCTGGTTACATTCCCTGCTACAGTTTAAGCACCTACTGTCCTAAAAGCAGCTATATTTCTGAATTCAATAAAGGTAAAAAAATGCTTCAAATTACCTGAATCAATCCTGTTTAACATACTATATTCAACTATACTACTGTAATCCACAACAATACCACTTTCTCTTTTGAATGCTATTTTAACTATACTAATACTATAATACTATACCTTCAATTACTTGTGAATGTGAATGAGATACCAGCCTATACTATGAAGTGTAAAATTTCCAGTTCAATGTGACCAAAAATAGGTAAAAAATGTTGAAATCCAACAAAAATCATAAAACAGGAAGTCGGGAACAGATTAACTAATCCTGAACCCTTGATAGTCTCGGAAACAATATCTGCAGTCAGGAAATTTCATGACAAGAGACAGGTTAAACTCAAATTGACATGACATGCTGTCAACTCTACGTATGTCCCTACCTTTATTGTGGTATGTAAATTATCTACACTGAATTACTTTCATTCCTAATAACTAGTAATAATAAGTATAATAGTATGAGAGCTCACTATACAAATATTTTTAAGATTTATGACATAAGGTTTTAAGTACTAAGGAATGTCAACTTGAGTCTATGTTACCATTCGTTTTCTATACACCTGTGTAACTAAGCTTATGTAAATGTATTGAATGAGGTTGCAAATGATGATAATTGAAGGTAATATTAAACATGAACAAAATGTATTTTAATATCATAACAATCATGAATTAAACTTTTACAATCAACATTAAAGATGGGTTTCCTTATTTTTTTGGTGTCGAATTAGGCAAACTAATTGATTAATTGGTGTTTCTAATGAATTATCATGTATTCTTAATCTTATCATTATGTTCTTATTGCATATATTTAAGAGTTT